CTAAGATGGACACGTTGTTGAAAAAACTAGATCCTGGAAACTTTTCCAACTACAAAGAGTTTATTCGCGCTTTGCTCATTGAAGCCTTGGCTAATACAGAGTTTACCTTTGACGAGTTGAATTACAATCTCTATGCTTTGAACAAAGAGATTTTTAATCAACTGAACAAAGAAACGACCGCCTTTTTTAAATTCTTGCATCGAACACCTGATGTGGATTATAAAATGAAGGAGTGACTTGCTTGAGTTCCATTAAACACTGCCTTTTCCTGGAAGGAACATGGACACCCTTTTCAACTCTATCGAACGTTCCAAAGTACAAGGATATCATGACTTTATGCAAGCCATCATTTTAGAAGCCATCTCGCGTCATAATTTCACCTTTGATGAATTGAACACGTTTTTGTTTAACCATAACAAAGAGATTTTTGAACATGTTTGTGAAAAAGCCATTGCCTATTTTGATGACTATGCTCCTAAAAGCCTCAAGTCCTGTGGGAATTGAACATGTCCGGGCAATGACGTCATTGCATTGTTCATTCTCTGGACATTGACGTCACGGCATCATTGTTTGGTCTGTTTATATTTCCCTTTGACAATGTGATTCTTTCATTCCATGAAGCAAGATCTCGGATGTGAAACCTTTTACGATTATTAATGGTGGTGCTAACGGAGTCAATTTAGAAGCAGAACGCTTTGCCAGAGACTTTGGTTTACCTGTACAGATATTCATTCCACCTTGTCACCCAAGAAGTAAGTACTTGCCCCCGTTAACGCATCAACAGTTGGGAGAAGCCACTCCAATCACGAACCAAGGCTCCAATCGCCTCAACAAACCATTAAGCAATCCCATCAGTTTACAATACATTCACCAGAATTATCATGTGGTGAAACAAGCCGAAATGGTACTGGCTTTACAAGCTTTCAACCTGAAAGTAACCTATGCTTTGGAGGTACCGGTTGGGCAGTGGAAATGGCCAAACGTCTTAACAAAATCCTCTACGTGTATGATGTACAACGTCACATTTGGTTCTGGTACAGACACGATGAAGATCTATTCTACACCTGTGATCAGATGTCTGAAGAACAGTTTGCTTTACCCACCTTTTACCCAAAACGGCCATTGTCGGGATCAGAAACATTTAACATTTTCCAGACGCTTTATTAGAACTTCAAGATACCTTTAAACGTAGTCTCAATATACCTGTATAAAGTTTCTCATTTTTACACAGATTCTGTCACTTGATCTCGGTAGTATAATGGTTAGTATCTCTGCCTGTCACGCAGAAGATCTGGGTTCAATTCCCAGCCGAGACGTTTTTTAATAAAGTGTGATATTTTTACTCTCATTCTTTGTGGTGGTATATACGTAATATAATATACGTAAATTTATGAATTAGCATTATGTTATTGACTTTTTGGTCAAGCTGCTGCTAAATTCAAGCAAATATTTTAGGAACACGCTCAATTTCGAGACAGCTTTGTTGTGAAGTTTTCATCGCATCAATTAAAAATTTTAGTTGAGTTTAAACAGGCACATTACGCTGGAATAAGCTAATTTCATTTTGAGTACAGAAACATTTGGGTTTTCAAATAAATTCTTCAAAAAATAACTTCTGTGTGTATTATTTTGTTCCTCAGTGTTCATTCATAACAGTCGTTCAGAAAACGGTCGAAAACAACAGCTTCAGCGCCGGCTCCGTGTCGGCGAATTTGAGTTGACTTTCATAGCTGGATTTCCCCAGACAGATTTCGATACAAAGCTAGTTAATTTCTTTTCAAAATTAGTGTTACCTGTTATTCTAAAGGAATTACAGTCAAATTTTCTCATTTCTACTTTATGTTTATTTCAAAAATTGTCACACAAATAAGCTTGATAATTATTTCATTTATTAAGTTTTAGCTTATTTCTTAGAGTCTTTTTAGTTGGTGTTTATAGTTGCAGCTATAGTTTTGAACGTTTTTAGCCTAATATTAAGAGCAAGTAGACAGATGCCATTCAGAATAACAACGAAAGGCGTTTTGCAATTTACCTGAAGACGGAGAAAGGTTGATTCAGCGAAAAAAAAACTCAAAGGCAAGTTTTTGAAAAACATAACATTTGTTTATGCGTGGGCAGATGGCAGCATACATGAACTCAGACTAATGACTCAACCGAAGGCAAATGGAAATTTTTTTTTCTTTGATTATGTTATAAAAGAAATGGTAAACATTGCAGCTGTACAACCATGGAGTTATGGATGCACTTGGGAGGTTTGCTAAGCACTTAAGAAGCTAGAGTCGCACAAGGCGTGCTTCTTTCGTGCTTAGCAACCTCCTAAGTGCATCCATAAGTTCATGGTTGCAGGCTGCACGTTTACCATTTCTTAAATTGAAAAACAATCTCTTATCCATGACACCAGGGCGTCGCTGAAAGAGGCCAAAATTATGTAAGTTATTACACACAAAAAAAATTCCTATAATAATAGGCGTACAGCTTGTAACAGAGCCTGTATCCTTATATATATATATATATATATGTATGACTAGCAGCAGATAAACTGAAGACTTAATCTACTATAAAAGTGCTCAATGGTAAAACAAGAGCTGTGAATATAATAAAGATTTCTGGAGCAGGACTAATTCAAACACATTTTATTTATTTATTTATTTATGTATCTATGTATGTAAAGGGGAGCATGACACATCAGTGACGACAAACAAGCTACTCTCTAATGAGAAAGATAATGAAACAGTCAGCATTTTACAAACTCAGCTTTCAAAAAATGACTGGTTATTTATATCACATGACTCTACAAAGGCCCTATCTCACATTCACTCTAAAGGTTTCTTACACTGTGATTTAAAACAAACAGTATTCTTGTAAGTAACAAACTGAAGTTCTTAATGGTTCTCCTTGAAGCAAAGCCAGTGACATATTCTCCCTTAGTAAAATACTCCACAAGATAGGGCTCAAAAATGACATTCCACTTCTGATTGCCACTACTGAAAAATGTCTGGATACAAACCCTACAGGGAGACCAACAACAATACCTATTATGGCAACACTGGCTTCTATGATAGATGCGAATTTATAAGTCAGCACAATCAAAGCCTTCTTACAGCACTTTTCTTTGGTAAGGTGAATAAAAGCCCAAAATACTAAACCCATAATAGAGTACCCAAAATAAACACTTACTGAGTTGGGAAGGAATGGTGGAAAGGGCAACCATGCCTGCTATTAAGATGCCTCATATTTCATTAGCAGGACTGCAAAGATGTCTCATCTTTTGCCAGTTCATGCATGCTCCTGTCACAGCTGATTTTAAGCTTCCCAGTTGCAAAAAAATATCTCGCATTTTTTTGGTTGTTAACTCCAATAACAGCAAAAAAGAAGAAAATATTGATAAATAAGATGCAAAAAAAGAATGCTTTGGATAAAAATGCTGGTATAAAACTTATTTTTGCATAGTCACAGAATTATATACAGCCATGAACAGGTTTAAGGAGTATAATAATCATTCTCCACTTCATACAATAAATAAGAATGACAGGATTATTAAATGAACAAAATTTGCAATGGTTTATCCTCAAAGGGACTTTCCATCAATAGTTTTTTTGGGTTCATCTGAAAAGAGGTATTAGCTTGAGTGTCGGAAACTGTTGTCAATACTATTTGAGTATTATCGTATTTTAAATTAGTGTTATTGAATCTGTCAAGAGCTCTATTAGTGAGACACGCAAGTTGTAGTTAGCACAAGATGAGAAAAGAATCTTGTGACATAATTAAAACATTCCGGTATAGAGCGCATTGACAGGTTTTCTGATAGATAAGTGAAATAATGTAGGCACGACATTATATATCTTTCGAGAACAAAATTTTACTTTAGTGAGAGAGATTGTTGGGTCGTGTAACCAACCAATAAATTAGACACCCAGAACATCGTGTGTTTTTCCGTTTTTAAAACCTGGCACCTCCGACAAATGGACCGTGAGTGATACCGACTAACACTTAAGTAATTTTTCAAGATGGGAAAGATGATCAGTAAACTTACTGGAAAACTCAAAACCTTGAGTTATCGAATAAAGAAGACCGATGAAATTATCACGAAGGGTAACAAAGAAGCCTTAGAGAGGTACCAAGCTTCAATCCCTAATATCACAGAGGCAGTAAGCACACAAAAGTAGAGTATCGAGGATTAGAAATTTAATAAGGGAGAATCAAAGGAAAACATGACTAGAAATCTTGGACACGCACGCACAGCTAACGCTGCCACATTAAGCAAAAGCGAGTCACGTAATGCCTCACGATTTAGAGACTTCACTGAGAAAACAGATTTATAATCCTGCTTACCTCCTTTCTCCAGTCCATAGTCCTAAATGTTCACTAACTGCCAAGACCCAAACTGTTCTTAGAAAATTGTCAGCTTCCATGTCATAATCGTTGCGTTTTTCAGGTATAATGATATGGATGATGTTATATAGCAACAGTATGCCGGCACTGCGAGAACAACATCACCAGCTCTTCCTAGATGTCCTTTTGCCTAGAACCTTAAGAGTGTAACAACTTTGTTCACTGTGATTATTAACCATTGAAGCCAAATTATAAGACGCAGTGAGTCACACTTCTCAGGACTTTATATCCATTGCGTTTTTAGGTCTTGTTTCTCTGAAAATTTCATATTTTCTGGTAGACGAAATATATTCCTGCAAAACCTTGCAGCGAAATCCACGGGCAAAGTAGTACACTTCTTTCCTATTTCCTTGATCGGCCATGTTGATTTTCATCTGTTTTCTCCCTGGGTAGCCTGGCTTTCTAGCTTCCAGTCTAGCTTCAAATCTATTCACCCCCAAAAAATGGGGGAGCTGAGACCTATCTCCCTATGGCATGAAACTGCCACGCAAAAATCAAAACAAAGAATCAGAACTGAACACAGTCAACCTGGAATTTATCTGTATTGGCCATTTGGCAAACACTCCAAGAATTTATTTTTAAAATGTCGACAAAACGTATTACAGGAAGAGGTAAATGTGCTCATAAATGGAAGAGTTTCTTCACTACATATTGACTACAAACATTTCGACTACGTTGTTGAACAAGCAATTGCTGGTGATCAAGTTGTCTCCAGGATGGCTATCCGAAACAATATACTGTTGCAGTGGGCGAGTTTAAAGGACTCCAAGAAATACTACATTGACTTGCTTAACGACATCATACCAGGAACTGTTGTAAGAATAATTCTTAATTAATTATTAAAAGAGATTCAAAACGAGTAAAAGAACGCTCGCACATTACCATCATTCATCTAACATGGAGCTTAAGGAAAAAAAAAAAACAGATCCGGCACAAAAGAGTAGAGAAATGAAATTTTAAAGGGGTGGACAAACCTCAGCATTTTGGCTGGCGACATAATGAATTCTGGGGAGATGGAAGAAGAAATAAGGAGACTTGAAGCAAAAGCCACATATTTAATGGACAGGTTGCAGATGCGTTATGTTGAAGTTGAGGAATGGAGAACGAAGTATGAAAATCTTGACGACGAAAAGTAGAAGGTTTTCGAGGAACTGACATGAGAAAAATATATAAGAAAATTAGAGAAAAGCAAAGGGATGAAGTCGATGAGAGACAAATGTTCACTTAGGAAATGACAACACTTTCTAAACGACAGGCACATGAGAGGTTAGAATCTCTCTCAATCAGAGCACGGAAAGCATTACAGTTTAGGAAACAGTATGGTTTGCAACTTGATACTTTGTCCTTCAAAAACACTGAGGGAAACCAATATCCATTAAAGATTTCACCTTCCAGAAGCACATCACCTGCTCCTCCCACCACACCACAACAAACTCCTGGTTCTACCCCTTCTACTACATCACAAGCCCCTTGTTCTACCACATCTACTCCATCACAAGCCCCTGGTCTTATGACACCTACCCCACCACAAGTCCCTGGTTCTACCCACTCCACCCCAACAGGAACCTCTGGTGCTGCCCCTTCTACACCACCACAAACCCCAGTTGCCGTGCCACCTGCCAATATGTCATCTTGCAAGGCCACAGTGACTTCATTAAATGGGACATCGCCATTGGGCAATCGGACCACAACACAATGCTAACGGGTGCAATTCAACACTTTGTCCGACAATGAAAAGGAGAGAGTGGAAGCAGTACTCTTCCTGATGGATAAGTTTGCTGTGCACGATCCATTTGTACATGAGCTGAGCATGCTGATAAATGGGATGCCAAGGTCATACCGTATTAAGCAGTGCCGAGACAACCTTAATAGCAGCTGCACTGTAAAACCAACCAGTGGACCAGAGCCAGGTTCAAAGTATCCCTTACGAGCAAGCTGGACTCTCTTGTAACTACACATTTACTTCAAAATAATGCTGTTCATTTCTGTTTTTTCCTTGAAACAAACATAAAATAATACAAAAAATAATTGCACACATTCCCTTAATTGACAGGCAGAAAAGAGGGAACTGTCTGCTAACAAGCCAGTCAGAGTAAAAATCAGCGGTGATGGAGCCCGCATGACAAGATTGACCAACTTTGTTATACTCACAGTCTGCTTAATGATAATGATCTGTTTACTACTAGAGGTAAGAAACCTTGTTTTAGGTGGCTTTTTCCATGGAAACAGCACCTTTTTACTGTTTTTTTTTCTCTGTGTCAGATCCACACCACATGTCTTTTCTGTTATAGAAGAACAATACTTTATATTCCATCATTTATTGGAGAACAATACTTCATATTCCATCATTTAGGTACCAAGACTATTGCCATGATGAGTGGGTCTGAAAGCTATGCATCCATCAAGGCAAATTTCAAAGATTCTTGGGATGAAATAAATAAAATGATAGCTCATGGTAAAGTCTCAATAAACCATGGACAAGAAGAACCTGTTGGAATCTGTCTTGGTGGGGATTACAGGGTAAGATATGAAGCTGTTACACGGAAGAACTAAATACAGATTGCATTTTTTAGCTACCCCTTTATAGCAATACTATGTAATACTTATATTACACTTATTTTCTATGAGAATAATCTAAAGCGCATTACAGTTAACATATTACAAACTGCCGACTAATCTTAAAAGTTAAAACATAAAATCCTAACATGATTTAAAATAGTAAAAACTTTAAAACAAAAGCATTAAATTTAACAGAAAGCCTTAGAACATAAAAAAGTCTTGACTGAACACTTAATAGTGTTACCATTCTCTTTTCAGGCAAATTACCAGACTACCCATGTCATGGTACCCACAAAAGGAGGTCACTCATTTCATTCTTAATTTGTTTCATTTCATCAGTTTCTTTTGTTAGCTAGTGGCAGTTGAGCTGCAACCTCTAACTATGCTTGTTTATGGTGCAAGATCCACAAAGATCAAAGGTTAAGTGTTGTAAAATAAATACAAAAAAAAATGAAAATTTACAATCATTGAATCAAAATCTTCTTAATTACATTGATATCCTTGAGAGGAATGAGAATGTCTCTAATAAAGGGAAGGACATTTCAGAAGTTAAAAAGAAGTCAAGAACACTGAATATACTGCCACTTGTACTCCCAAGTGTTTGAAACAGACCTATATCCTCTCCACTTCACAAGATATTCACCCTAAGGCGTAAATAAGATAGATTTTAGTCTAAATAATTGACTGACCGTTGACTGCGACAGATAGGACAAACAAATCGAACCAACTTACCATGCCTTTACGGTTTCTCTTTGAAATTACACGTTCCATTGCATAATATAGCCTCTTTTGTGAAGATTTCTCTCTCTTTTGATCCTTTAAGAAATCGGCAGTGCTCAAATTATTCAATTCACGGTAAAAAGTATACGTCCGCTTCCCCGCCATTTTGCGAATGTAAAAATCCTCATTAGCTATTCAAAATCCCTAAAAATGGGCCTACGGTCAAAAACCGCTGGCTGTCCTCAATTTCTGGCCATGAAAAAATGATGGAGAAAATTCTTCTTGTGCTAAAACTTTCCACCCTCCATTTTGTACCCCCTTCTTTCCAAAAAAATGTTTAAATACATCTTCTCTTAACTCCACAGTCACTTGCTTTCTTTGTATAGATGCTTTCAGAGAAGCACCAATGGCCACCCTTAGTCTGGAAACTTCATTTAATATGATATTCCTATCGGGTTTGGGATGCTTGTAGTATCTGTTCAAAATAACTAACAATAAACAGAATTAAATTGACTCAAACTAAACATCAAACACAGACTGGAACCAATTTCATGACCATACTCTGGTACATTGTTTGTAGTAAACAAGAAAGCTTAGTTTAGACAAAGCTGGTTCAAATGCAGTTTTGGCTCCCTTGGAGCATCAAAAGGACTAAATTCTTCCATTTTACAAGATACTCTCTCCCCTTTAAATGAGCAAGACAAATATTTCAGTTTCATATTAAATACCCGCGAAATTAAGTTTAGTTTGCAGCTTAACAGAATTGAAGCGTAAGGTACATTCAAATAACACGCTAACTGCAAATTAAAGCATTCCTCCTATCTAAACTGATAACTGGTGAAAATTACCTTTCAGAGCATTTCCTTGAACGAACTTAATGTTTGTAGATGTCTTAAAACGAAATATGACTGTTTTGAATTATTTCACTAATAGCATAATCCCTTTATAACGAAATGGACACTTTTTTGCCTACATTCCACGTGAGTTTGCTAAAAAAAACAAACTTACTTGCTGTCCTTCGCGACTTGAAATTATCCTTTCTACCCCAAAGAAACGTCCGCTATCAACCATTCTTCTCCTTGGCTTCGATTCTGAACAAAAATCTGCTAGAGAAATACTATTTAAATCGGCAGAAAACCCGATCAAACTCTTCCCACCAGTGCGAGTTTTTCAAGTTGACGCCATGTTGCTCAGATGTCACACTGTATTGCATGTTTCTTCCCAGCCAATGACGTGCAAAATTGACCTTCTATGAGTGGCAGGTCAATCCACATTCCAATCTTAGCAGCTTAGTAGTCATAGAGGGTCAGAATTAAGTCTCATTGGTGCCTTCCCCTGCCTTCCGTATGCCTTTTCTTTATTAATATGTATGTGTCTTCTTACAAACTAATTTGGGGCCTTCCTCCATACTAATTAAGTGCCTTCCCGCATACTAATTTGGTGCCTTCCTCCATATATAATGAAGTGGAGAGGCTTACTAATAAGTGTCTCTCTACTTCAATAGAAACAACAGGCTTGCCCGGTCTCTGTTAAGCCTGATTGGCTCTTCTAGAGTCCATTATGTCTTCAAAATAAAAAAGCGCCTTCCGTTCAACATTTTATTCTTGCAAGTCAGTTTGCTAGGAAAAAAGTCTTACTATCACCAATATTCTTTAAAACATCGCTTCAAACATGCAAGTCGAAATGGGTGCTACACCTCTGTTGACGATTGACAAAGTGGAGAAAGTCCAGCGACAAAGGAAAGCCAGTTTCATCAGTTATGTATTCCAACTGACTTATGCGGATATGGTTGACAAACTCACCCAACAAGAAAAGCTGAATCACCGCTAGGGTTGTGCTATTCAACATCCAAGTCAAAACCAACATTCTTGCCTCATGATGACGCATGGATGTATTACCACGATGAAGCGGCGGAACAAATTGACCTGAATTCAGTGCTGAATGCTACCAAAAGTATATGCATTGCTCTTGGCTTCAAACTAGGTAAATCATGGGAAGCGTATGCTAATGAGCCGCTAAAAATGTCATGGACCAGTATTTACCTCGCTTCTCTGGAACTAGATGTTTTCCAGCTGGGTGACGATCTTCAAAGCTGTATCTTATATGCTCTATACTACAGACCAAATAGACTCAAATGGAAGGATTTCGGGGATCAACAAGAAACAACAGAACGCCCTGAGAAAGTTGTGAGGAAAGATGAACCACCAATGGACCTTAACTTGATAATTAATGACATTCAAAATAGGCTTTGTTTCTAAAAGGAATAAAATTTGTTTATGACTAAATGTTGAGTCAGTGTGTGTTTGTCTCTGTCTTAGTCATGATGGGACTTTCTCTCTCTTTGCTTTGAGTCGAGTTTTCTCTGTTTCGTGCCCAAGCCAAAACATTGCAAGTATCCTCAATTGAAATGGAAGAGCTTCAAATAAAATTTAAAGATCTGCCAGGTTAGAGTCTAGAAAAGTTGAAAGAACTTCACTCTGAGGGACGATTGGTGGTATTTTTGAACTTCGCAGATCAACTAGCATTAACCGAGGAGGAATGGGAAATATTATTTAATAGCTATATAAATAATCACCAAGAGAAAAGAAATCATTTGGGTTTGAACCTTCATAGCGATCATCAGTGATGGGGTGCTGTCCTCCTTTGTCCACTTTTGGATTTCAACACATCTTTAGCTGCATTCATTGCGTATTGGCCTGCTGTGGGGGTAGATAAGTCGTACAAAATTCCGAGTTCTGTGACAGAGAAAACACTGACCAGCATTTATCTCGACCCAAGTCAACCTGCAAGTTTCGGTGGTTTAGATGCTGTTTACAGAGCAGTCAAAGAGAGAGGAAAGAATAAGATATCACGTAAACAAGTCCGAGAATAGTTGAGTCAGCAAGATGTTTATACTCTTCACAAGCCCGCGCAAAGACGCTACAAGAGAAGCTGAGTCATCGTTCCAGGAATAGATGCCCAATTTCAAGTGGATTTGGTCAATCTTCAAAATCTCAGTCGCTACAACAAGGTTTATAAATACTTACTGACTGGTATAGATATCTTCAGCAAGTACGCTTTTGTGTGAAGACAATACAAGGTCAAGAACTGGTCAAAGCCTTTCAAAAGATCCTTTCTATTGGTCGCAAACCTACCAAACTGCAACAGATCAAGGAACAAAGTTCCTGAATGGTGTGTTCCAGAAATTTCTGCGTGACAACAACATTGACTTTTTTACTGTTCACTCTGGGCTCAAAGCCTCAGTGGTTGAGCGTTTTAACCAAACATTTAAGAATAAGCGAATGGATCGTCAAGTGCCCGTTTATAAACTAAAAGATGATCCAGGTGAAATCTAAGATGGAACATTTTATGAGACTGATTAAGAACGATGATGTGTACCGCGTCAAAAAGATTTGCCAAGGAGAAAGCGTAAAGGAGTAGTAGAGTACCTTTTGAGGTGCAAAGGATATGAAGATCCAAAATTTCATTCTTGAGTTCAAGAAAATGATATCTTGAAATTGTAATTTACGCACTTTTTTTCTGTAGTGAATAAAAGAAAAGGAAATAAAATGAATGGTGTACTTTCGCGGAGCGAGAGAACTCCGAGTCAACGGCTTAACTATGTATACAGTTGTCTCATTCAATGGGTGTGAAGGATGTTTCCATGCAAGATATCGATATAGCCAACCGCGTTCCTGCTCTTAAAGCTTTAAATCGACCGAACCCCATCATTTGCAAGTTTGTTAGGAAATAAGTCAAAGACAGAGTGATGGCAGCATGGAAAGAGGTTTCAAAGTCACCCCGAGTCAGTTGGGTTACGGCGTTGAACTGTCATTGTCACGGCTTGGTATTTACGATCACTTATCTCCGCTTAACCAAGCACTGTTAACCGATGCAAAAAAGGTTCAACAAGCTAAGGGCTTTAAATTCTGCTGGGCAAGGCAAGGTTCAATATTCCTTACGATGACAGATACCTTGTGCATTCATAAAGTGAACACTTTTCAAGATCTTCAGTCTTAACAAACTGATGAGGGATAGACTAGAACAACCTAAACAGCTAAGTATCTTAACTCTTACAATAGTTGTTTGTTCCTATGTTAATTCTATTTTTGCCTTGATTTTCGTATGACAAAAACAGAAAGAAATAAGCAACATGAAAAGGTCCTCAGAGACCTTCTGAAAGAACTGCCTTACTTTAATTGTAAAGTGCTCTTCGAAATATTAAAAGACAAAGATGATTACCTTGATGCAACCATGATAGTAGTATTATTGGTATTTATACTCTCTGCTGTCTTCTGAGTACCATTCACGCTTGTGGTTCCATACAGACTATTCATCTTTCTGATTTGCGTTCTATTATTCATGTGATGCCCAACGACCAAACACAGAGCAAAGGTTCGTCCGATCCGGATGAAGTTGATCTTCAGGTGATAGTGGAGGCAACTCAGCAGCCGTTGATCAAGTCTTTTCCATGTTTAAGGATTTTCTTGAGAAAAAAAATAGAAGGTAAAGGAAAGCAAATCGAACAAAGGAGTAAGCTAGATAAAGAAGTTGTGCAGCTGAAGTTCAAAGGGAACCAGAAACAATTTGAACTTAATGCCGAATTAGATGCCATTTTTGAAGGCATTGCGCAAAATTTATCGCAGATCAAGAAACTTTCCCAAGAAGGCAGGCAACGTATTTGAAAGTGACAGAAAGTGATAACAATTGCTGATAAAAGTAGGGACAGCTTGCAGGCTGTAGCCGAGTACAAGTCGGACGAGTTTGTATCTAGCTCCAAGATGAAAAGCAACTTAAGAAGGCAAGAGAAAAAGCGAGCCGCAAGCGACGTCAAAAGGAACAACTCTCTAGTAATAGTAGAAAGAAAGAAAGGATTGCTTTGGGGGCTGATAATCAGCTTTTTCATGGTAAGAAAAAGAGCCTCGAGTTGGTTGCTAGGGCTTTTGCTCCCAAACCTCTCAAAAGTGAGCGTTTTAGGCCATAGACAGAAGTAGAATGCATTGAATGTAATGAGACGTGGCAGGGAAGTAGGTTCATAAATTACCCATTTATTGTGTTTATTTAATCCCATGTGGCTGCTATTGTGACGTCATAAATGATGTCCAAATTTGGCATCCGAAAGAAATTCAGGAAAGAAATGGTAAAAATTGACTATTAGTTTCCTCCATAAAATTCTGTGATTTCTGGTGAAAACCACATCTCAATCGATAAAAAGGCATAACGAAATTCTAATTTCCCACCAAATGATCAAATGGTCAAACTTTAGGAGTATTTAAACCCGAAAACAATGAATGTAGTCGCAACCAAGAAAAGACAAAGTTGCATAAAAATAAATTAATTCAATCTAATCTCAGTCAAGAGTGATCCCTGTGTTTTCCAACTTTGAGCTAATTTGTTTCTCATTTTGCGTCGCTAGACTTCTCCCAACCCGAACTATCTTCGTTACTAATATGACACCATCGTCTGCTTCGATCTAACCACTGTTCGTAAATACAAAATTGCCCACTTTGAGCAAAATTGGAAATAATCGCTAAAGACATTGTGAAAGAAAGTTTTTTCCTGCAGACACCTCTGATTTCTGTTTGAAACGCACACTAGGGATAAAGAAGTGTTCAAAATTAGCTTTGCCATGAGTTCTTATTATCCCACTGCCACAATCAACTGCGCCGATAAGTGTTGGTTTTGTGTTTCAGGGTGCTTCAGATTTTTTAAGCTGCAGAACATTGATAACTGAAGTAGGTTATTTTTGGGGGGGAAACCAGGTGATACCATCAACCATCTAAATTGTCACTCTAGGTCAGGATTTCCAGTGTCGGTGATTATCGATGATTTGTATTTTAAAATTTCATGGCACGTTTCTTCTTCATTGAAAGCACGACAGTTCAGTCGCCTACAGTGGGATAGCGAATCTGAATGTCCACGTACTATAATTATGCCAACTACATACAGCAGTTTCTATCACGAATGCCACTATCAGATGACAAACATGATGACTAGTCCCATATTGGTTCTGGTCAATCTTCGCAAGGACGGCAGGCTTGATGTAGCCGTCAACGACAAACTCTTCCCCGACTTTGGAGAGAATTGGAGTCAACAAAATGGGTCTCAGGTGTTTTGCACAGAGCAAAGGTTCGTCCGTTCCAGATGAAGTTGATCTTCAGGTGATAGTGGAGGCAACTCAGCAGCCGTTGATCAAGTCTTTTCCATGTTTAAGGATTTTCTTGAGAAAAAAATAGAAGGTAAAGGAAAGCAAATCGAACAAAGGAGTAAACTAGATAAAGAAGTTGTGCAGCTGAAGTTCAAAGGGAACCAGAAACAATTTGAACTTAATGCCAAATTAGATGCCATTTTTGAAGGCATTGCGCCAAATTTATCGCAGATCAAGAAACTTTCCCAAGAAGGCAGGCAACGTATTTGAAAGTGACAGAAACTGATAAAAATTGCTGATAAAAGTAGGGACAGCTTGCAGGCTGTAGCCGAGTACAAGTCGGACAAGTTTGTATCCAGCTCCAATAAGAAGGCAAGAGAAAAAGCGAGCCGCAAGAGACGTCAAAAGGAACAACTCTCTAGTGATAGTGGAAAGAAAGGAAGGATTGCTTTGGGGGCTGATAATCAGCTTTTTCGTGGTAAGAAAAAGAGCCTCGAGTTGGTTGCCAGGGCTTTTGCTCCCAAACCTCTCAAAAGTGAGCGTTTTAGGCCATAGACAGAAGTAGAATGCATTGAATGTAATGGGACGTGGCAGGGAAGTAGGTTGATAAATTACCCATTTATTGTGTTTATTTAATCCCATGTGGCTGCTATTGTGACGTCATAAATGATGTCCAAATTTGGCATCCGAAAGAAATTCAGGAAAGAAATGGTAAAAATTGATTATTAGTTTCCTCCATAAAATTCTGTGATTTCTGGTGAAAACCACATCTCAATCGGATAAAAAGGCGTAAAGAAATTCTAATTTCCCATCAAATGACCATATATGGTCAAAATTTAGGAGTATTTAAACCCGAAAACAATGTAGTCGCAACGGAGAAAAGACAAAACTGCATAAAAATAAATTAATTTATTCTAATCTCAGTCAAGAGTGATCCCTGTGTTTTCCAACTTTGAGCTCATTTGTTTCTCATTTTGCGTAGCTAGACTTCTCGCTACCCAAACTATCTTCCTTACTAATATGACACCGTCGTCTGCTTCGATCTAATCGCTGTTCGTAAATACAAAATTCCCCATTTTGAGCACAATTGGAAATAATCGCTAAAGACATTGTGAAAGAAAGTTTTTTGCTGCAGACACCTCTGATTTCTGTTTGAAATGCACACTAGGGATAAAGAAGTGTTCAAAATTAGATTTGCCATGAGTTCTTATTATCCCACTGCCACAATCAACTGCGCCAATAAGTGTTGGTTTTGTGTTTCAGGGTGCTTCAGATTTTTTAAGCTGCAGAACATTGATAACTGAAGGAGGTTATTTTTTGTGGGGAAACCAGGCGATAGCATCAACCATCTAAATTGTCACTCTAGGTCAGGATTTCCAGTGTCGGTGATTACCGATGATTTGTATTTTAAAGTTTCATGGCGCATTTCTACTTCATTGAAAGCATGACAGTTCAGTCGCCTACAGTGGGATAGCGAATCTGAATGTCCACGTACTATAATTATGCCAACTACATACAGCAGTTTCTATCACGAATGCCACTATCAGATGACAAACATGATGACACCAAGAAAATGAAATCAAATGGCACTGCAGAAAGATTCAATTATGTGCAACAAGAAGTACATCATCTCAGAGTTCATAAACCAGAGTGACAGCCACTGTGACGTTGTTGCCTGTAGGGATTGTGTGCCAGAAAAATTGCTTTCATTGCTTGCACAATTATATCATGTTGGACTAGAAACCGAACATAAATATTGTTATTACCACTGTATTATTATTACATCAATAATTTGAGCAATATCGGGTTACGATTTAATGTATTTAGAACTTATGACCAAGCGTTCAGTGTTTGCAGTCAGCTCTAACTTGATTCTGTTATACGGTATTAACCCACATGCAAGATATACGCAAATTTCCTTTTGATTGCAAACAGGAAATCATTGATACACATGTAAGGCTGAAGACATTCCACGTAGTTGTATTTGAAAAGAAGTCCACAGAAAGTCACTATAGGTGAAAGCCATCCTAAACACCCCGCATTTGCACGGAAAGTCTCCATTGGCAATTTTTGTTTATCCAGCAATGTCTCGCTTTCATGACTAGGTGTCAGTTTTCTACCACATGTCCGCCACTTGTGAATATGCTGTATGGGGCAAAGTTTAGGTGTGCAAATAAAAATCAATGAAACTTACCATGTGGCGAGCTGTTGTTGTCGATAAATATGCACACGAAGTTTCCGGAAAAAAAGTTTTCTTCGTAACCTGTTCGCCACAAGGTATATAGGTTTCATCAATTTTTAATTTTTACTCATGTTATATGAAACCCTGTACGTGACGCAAATAGTGAGCCTGGGTTACCTGTGATAATAGAAGGACTGTCTATTATCTAATAGTATGTTACTTTCGAGACAAAGTGATCAGTTGCGAAGTTTGTTCACATAAAGCAAGTTTCCAAGTCAGTAACTCAAGCTGGATCGATTCTTGCAGAAAGAAATGTTCTTCTTGATACTGTGGTTCGAATTCGATTGTAAGCTTACTTTGGTTTTCTGATAACTTTGGGTAAGCTTAAAACTTCAAAGATAAATCGTAAAATTTAAGATTAATGCACATGTATGCCAGTGATTTGTTTACTACACTCTTTGTTGCAAATTGTCAACAGAAAACTCTGAAAATTGTATGTTAATTATGGCAGACTCCACAAGACCAATGTTAAATCTAATGAGAGAAAAGCATAAGTTCCGATAAAGTTTCCAGTTAATTTATAGTGACTTGAGAGTTGTGCAATATATATTGTGACCAGGTAGCCTGCACCTTGCACCCATACGGCACTAGCTTCACTGTCAGTAGTGGATCCATAGAAGAAAGAGGAATGAAATGCACTTGCTGCATTTGCAATAGTAGCAAATGCCATAATGGTGCTCTAGTGCTACAGTAGTCATGATCGAACTGCACCACATTCATAAAACAAATCAAAATATGAAAATCTTGCACTGTCTGATGATAACATATGAATGACAATAACACTTGACTAGCTGGTCATTCTGTCAATTGTAACAAGTGGATAAACTCAACCCATTTGTACGCTTAATTAGAGTGAGAGAGTGGCAAAGAATTATTAATGCATCATGCCAATTAAAACCTATTAGTTTCAGTCTACTGCAATTCTACCACCTTAAGAGCAGAAAAACAAGTACAGGAGGGCCCCAAGAAAGGCCTTGGCAATGCTATGAACCTAACGATAAAAACAATGACAGTGAAGGGCTCCCAAAAAGGCCCATGCACAGGCCAAGCTTGAATTGCCTGGTCCAACAGCCAGTACTACATCAGAGCCTGCAGCTAGAAGTGATAATGAACAGTCTACAATGACTAAGTAGAAAGTGCTGCGTTTGTAATAAAATATGCAAATGGTTAGACATTCTAGTCTTAGATACGTACAAAAAAAGGTTACATGGTCCTATCTTACCACTTATCTGGTTTTTGTGGGACTAAAAGAATCCAAACCGAAGTTAAAAAAAAAAGGAGGGGACGTCAACCAC